GATTTGTGCACAAAGAGTCACACTAACAGAAAACCTGTTGAGTCGTACACGATGCGGTTGATACCTCGATCCGAACAAGAGTGAGAGCGAGTGAGACGTCGTTTCCGCCAGCTTGTAAGGAAGACGGATGCGACGTATCACTGTTGATGATTGCAATTGGTGCGTTCGCTAAGCGACACGCACGCCACGGGCCGCGATTGGCTCGTGGTGAACGACGCGCACGCCACACGCAGCTATCGGCGCGTGGTGTGTGTGAATCTGCGGTGATGATGCCAGCCATTACCGATGCATCGTTCATTGCTGATCAGCTGTTGCATGGTCGGTTCGTTGATGATCATTGGGAGGTGCTGCCCCCGTCGATTGATTTGTCTCAATATTGAACAGGTTGTAACATGTTTGAGAATGTTTCAATGTTCATTTAAAAATGTTTTCATAATTATCTAAGCTATTCATTAAATGTTTGACTTCTTAAGTGTACGACCCAATCCTCTTGAAAGATTGCTTAACAGATGTTGAATGATGTGTTGGCCAAGTTCCTGAGATAGACGGTAGTATCTTCTTAAATCCGTTTACCTAAAATGTAGGATAAGTGCACCTAATTTGATCTATCCGAATTCAAATTGTCTTCAATTGATGGGTAACTGATATTTTGTACCTACTTTGTCTCAAATGAGAAAAAAATGGTATGTGTTTCGTGCACAGTAGTTTAAATCTGTTAAAATGTAAAGATTTTCAAACGGATTGAAAAAAAATGAGGCAAGCAAAAATCAGGATTATCAAAAAGCACACATAACATCGTGTACTTCAGAAAAAGTGACTAATTCATGTTGTACAAACACAAACATCTATTTATGAAAGTGGTTGTCACTTTGTTATCGAATTAAGATAAAACTTAAATACACGTGTTCTTTACACTTTTCTCTACACTTTCTGTAATTATTTATTCGGTAATATTTCTCGGTTATATTTTTAATATATTTTATAATTATAGTTAAATTTCACAGTTACTGTTTCAATTACTTATTGTACATAAATATTTTTACCTTAAAATACAGACAATGACTGTTCGTCAAAATAAATATTTTATAAGTGACATTTAATGAGCAATGTATCTATTAAGCTTTGTATTACAGTTTACAGAAGGTATTATTTTGTTGTATATTGCACTTTCGACTATCAATATGTAGAATCCACAATTTATAGATTGTATAACATCAAAATAAAAAATTCATCTCAGAGTCTAAAAACTTATAATTACAATTCATAAGTAAAAATAATTGTTAAATTATTTAGCAAATTCGTATTAAAACGTCTTAGAAAGCAATAATTATTCGTGCCACGCGTAGAACCCCCTATCCGCTTGTTACATAATTCGGCAGAGACGTGATGACTTCTGGAAGACGTATGTCATACTACACGTGCCACGATAGTCGAATATTTTAACCGTAACAATAGATCACGAAAGTTGGAACGATATTCGACGAAATCATTTGTTATACCCGTATCATTGTACGACGCAACTGGTGAACATAAGTGCGCATCAATTACTTGTTAGTAATTGGATTGTCATTCATTAGCTCCATATAAATATCTGTGAATTCGTTGGTAACTACAAGCAGTAGCCGAAACAGGAGCAAAAGCGAACATGCATACGGTAACACTATGTCTTCTCGCCATTGCTGGCGTCACGTGCGCTCTTGAAATTCCTGACATCTCTCCGCAACTTTCGACTGTGAAACCGGTAAGCCTTCACAAAACTTTTGATACATTCCCTTTTTTAAAATATAATAACGAGTGAAAGATACTTTAATATTTGTATTTCTAAAAAATTGATTCGTAATTGCAATTATAATCTATTAACTTTCTCTTCTACTTCTATTCTATCTCCATTGAATACTATTGTTTTTTAGACATTCTTTACTGGCTATGACGAATATAAATTTAATGGCACCTGCCTAAAAGGAACAACAATTAATTTTAGTACACACGAAGTTGCATCGACATCATGATCTATTTAAACTAATTCGTACTACAGTAATTGATTAGTTCTTCTAAGTGAGGAATAAAGTCATGTGGGAAATTTAATCCATTAATGAATTCCTGAGAAATCATATTATGCATTCTATTAATTATACTACTAGTTTTGCAACACATAAAGCGACTGTTTTTCAATTACTCCATAGATGTTTGTTGAAAAATTCGTTTGACAATAAATCTTACAAGGAACGTTCCAAGGAACAGCGGTCATTTCCATGAAAGAGTATATTACTAAATAAATTGAAAGAATCTGAATGTTTCTGCTGTTATAAATCGCAGCCATTTAAACAATTCAAGTATAACTATACTGACTCAGAAAATTTTCTTTATTAATAATTTTATTACCTGAACACTATCTTCTTCATATTCTCATATTTTAAAATGGTCGGTTGTGAGGCATGTTATTATTTTAGAAAACTTACCTGCATCATGTCATTAGTCATAGAGCACTTTTAGTTACTAAAATAAAGATGTCGTTCATCGTATATTATTTCGTTTCGAGATCGCAATTAGTGAACTATATGAGTTGACCAACCAAGTCTAGTAGGACGACTAATCGTAAAAGACAGTACAAAACGGTCGAAACCGAAAAGAGGCCTAGATTAGGAACACTATCTAAATGTATAAGTTTGTCTTTCAGTGCTATTCAGTATTTCTCGCTAAGCCCAAAATTACAACGACATATATCGAAGAAGGTCATCCTCGTAAATCTCGTAATTTCTTCCGCTTGAGTGATGTGTTTGCTTGGTCTGTGAGGGCCAAACTATAAGATTTGGTCATGTAATTTAAGATAGCCATACATAATTGAGGTATTAGAATACTACTAAACAAACTTCGTTTTTAACAGATCGCTGACCTTGGCTCCGAGATAAATAGAATTATAAACGGAGGCAACCAAGATAACTCAGATGAGAGGAATGACAATGACACAGCGAGGCTAGCTTCTGAATTGGGAAAACAAGTTGCCCAGGACATCGAAAACGCCATTCGAACAGGAGCATCGATTGGGACAGCTCCATTTAAATTCGGGGCTGCTTTGAGGAATAAGCTTGCCAATGACATCGCACGATGGTTGAAAAGAGTACTCAATCAGCCAAATAATTCCAGACTCGACAACACCTTGCTAAACTTAGCTACTCAGTTGACTAATAGGATCGCCCAAACCGTTGAAAACGCGGTTGAAATTAAAGGGAAAATCTTGGGACGTTTTATCGGATTGACTGCATTAACGAAGGCCAAACTTATTCAGGATGTTACAGACTGGATAACACAGACTGTTCAACCGGCTATCCCAGATGTTTATCTGCAGCTAGGTCCGTTGATCTGTTATAACGGATCATGTGCTTTCCAGAGAACTACTACTGCGCCTTCAAGGTCAACATCCTCAACCACGACAACTCAATCTTCTACCAATCCTTCAACATCGGGTAAACTATGTACCACTTCTTCGCCTCGATCAAATACCGCTTCTTCGCCTAGAATTAGCACCGCTTATGCAACTGGACCGACTACCGTCACGTCGCGTAGACCAAGTAATTCCTCGACTGGGAGAAATACTTCTCCAACTAGACCAAATTTTCCAACTAGACCAAGTATCGCCACATTTCCTAGACCAAGTAGTTCTTCGAATAGACCAAGTACTGCCTCTTCACCTTTTTTTTTTTTTTTTTTCGCGGGGAAATGCATTATGCACACCTCGGAGTCCTGGGGTGGGACTCCGATGTAGTGTAGGACTCTGACCCACTAAAACCCCCGCGGCAGCCTTCTCGGGCGGAACTCGGCGGTGGCGGGATATCGTATGAACGCACCACCAACGCCGCGCCTGTGCTCCCCTTAGCGGGAAGCCCGTTCCGTGGGGGCGATCGGACGCCCCCCAGAGGTGACCGATACCCCGGTCACCCCCCCTTCCCTACTCCGCCGGCGTCGGAGGACTGCACTCCGACGCCGGCACTACCGGGCCGCTTTGGATGCAGTCGGGGACCCCACCCCGACTCCATCAGCGGCGCCGGCGGACGCGCGCGCGAAGGCGGGAGCCACATGAGCCGAATCTCCGGCTCCCGATGTCCACGCACGCGTCCGCCCCTACACGCAGGCCACGCCTGCCGGAGAGCGAGGAGGCGCCTACGGGGGGGGGGGAATCTGTCCCACCCCGCCGGCGTCGTCGGGGGCGGCCCTGCGGGCCCCCCGGCCCCGC